AACCCCCATCTTCAGCCTTGTTCCCAGGGTGACACTCCTGCCCAATTCCAGGAGCATTTTGTGGACCTGGCAATAGCAGCATGACCCTGCTACCTGTATCCAGTCACAAAGGTATTCGAACCACCACCTCAGGACATGGTCACAGGGAAAGCAATGTCCTGCTTCACGCACATGAAACTAGAGCGTGCTGGCTTTTCCACTTCTCTCCTGTCTAAAAAGCAGAGGCACCTATCCCAAGGTCCCAGGCCTTGCATCAAGAGGGCTAGAAACTCCGGAGTTTCAGTTTATTTCATTGCCTCCTGCTTGATCCTTTGGTGTGGGAGGTTGTGCTTCAGAAGAAGCTGTGGGATAGGCCCCCGAGCCCCCACTGCTGCTTTGTTGGCATCTCCTGCTTGTTGCAACCTTGGTTAACTCCCCCTGCTGCTACACCCTGGTGCTCCTATGGTCCTGCACCTGGAAACGCGGGAGTCAGACCACTGAGTCACAGGCAGGAGCTATTCCCCGGAGATATCTGGCAAGCTGAGCTCAGGCAGGAATTTATCCAGAAGCCTTTGCCCCATTGTTCAAACTCCACCCACCGGCTTCCCCCCCTAAATACAGATGGTCTCTGTGTTTTCAATGCCCAGGTAGATGGTGGTTTGTGAACTGTGCCACAGAGCGCAGTGGGGAGCCAACACAGCCCGTTGCTCAGGGCTTGAAAGAGAAAGAAGGGACGTGGAGGGCCGATGGCTGATTGGAGTGTGCCACTCAGCACCCTGGGGGAAGCCGCCCTGGCCAGGCTCTCTGAGCTCCTGGACAGCTCCAGCCGGAGCTGGCGAAAGCTGGCTGAAGTTGCTGGTGCGGAGAAACGCTTCAAATTCAGGTAGATGCAGAGCTGGGGACGTTATGGGGGTCAGGCACAGGTATAGGTGTGAGCTGCTGTGAGCAACATGCCAGTGCTGCTACCAGCAGGTGGCTTGCATTGGCAGTGCACGAGCATATATGTGTGGGGGTGTGTGTGTGTGTGTGTGTGATGTGGGTGCAGGGGGTAGATCCAGAAGGGGTGAAGTGGCACGGTTGTACCCCGCTTTTAGACCACACTGCTGAAGCAGAAGCGGGGGCATTTTTAAGTCTGTGAAGCAGGTATGAATCTTCCCCCTCCTTTCCCCTCTGCTCAGCCACCCATCCCATGCCCTCCCCTCCCATCCTACCCCTTTCTACCTGCTACTGTCGCTGTCCCTGGGTGAGTCCTACTCCCCACACAGCCCAGCTGGAGCCATCAGGATCAGCTTTGGAGCTCTCCTCCTCCCAACCATCCCCACCAGAGAATGGGGGGTAGGGGCGGTGGTGGGCAGCGGGTGTGCAGTTGAGCATGGAGGGGAAGGGAAGCAGTGCCAAGAGTGTGGGGGGAGGATTCTTACCTGATTTGGAGTCTTAAAAGTCCCCAGCTGATGCTCCCCGGTTATAGTCTTCCCACCCTGGTGGGGACGAAAGGGGAGGCTGGGACCTTCTGTGCAGGAGGGGGCACCTGTGTGCAGGTATGTGTGAGGCCTGTGTGCATCTGTGCATAATGGCCCCATGTGAGCTCTGTGGGTGGGGGAGGGCATGTCCTTGGGCGTGTATGCTGGTGTCTCCTGTCTCTGGGGGTCCCTGAGCATGTGGATGCATGCTGTGCTTTTGTGTATCCATACTGCTTCTCTGGGGTGCTTGTGCATGTGGCTCCTGTGCATGTGTATCTGGGCTGTCTGCAGGGGAAGATGTCCCAGTGCACAGGGCACCTGTCCAGGTGTATGCTTCCACAGATCTCATCCTGCTGTGTATGGTTCCCAGCTCTCTGGTGTAAGGCTGTGTGGGATGCTGGCCAGCCCTGCCCGGAGCGATTCATGTGTCCCTCAAACACACCTCGTGATGCTTTGAGGCTTTTGCTGTAGCTGTCCATGGGAGGCCTGCATTCCTGCCCCCGAGGTGAAGCTGACTGCACTCTGCTCCCATGGGCCCTTTGCCCTGCCTTGGGCAGAGTCATTGCTGCTGTTGCCAGCTACTGGCTGTGCCAGACATCCGTGGGGTTTTGAGGGAAGATCTCTGCCCCGTTATACTCAAACCCTCCCTTCATTGTGAGCTCTTTGTTGATCCCATCTCCTCGGCATGTTGATCCCTGAAAGCAGAGGGCTGGTGGGTTGTTGAGTTGGTGCCTGGCACTTTGCACAGTCACAGCAAAGCAGTCCCTCCAGGAAAGAAGGAGCCTGTAGCCAGCAGACCATACCACCAAGTCCAGATCCAAGTTGCCCCCTTGTCCAGATCCTGGATTTTGATCTGGGCTCTACCTCAATCTTGTGGAAAACCCATTCGGTGCCCTCCTCCAGCCCCCAGGGGTTGAGTGTTGAAGACTGACTTCAGGGACGGAGAAGTTCAGTGAATGGTTTTGATAGAGGAAGAAGGAAGGGGGCTGGCTGTTAGGACTGACAGTGTGGCCAGGACATAACTTGAAGCCCTTCTCCCTTATAGCCCACCAGGCAGGATGGTGTCACGGACCCTGAGACAGGGCAGTTCACAAAGCAGGACAGAGCTAGAGCCAGGATTAGACCCCAGGTCTCCTGGCTCTCAGGCCACGTTCTCTTCAGTGCCCAGACAGAGGAGTCAGGGCAGATAAAGGAGCAGGGTCTACCCCAAGGCCAAGAGGTTAATAGTGCTTTTGTGTTTGTGTTGTTTCTCAGTGAGGAGGAGCTGGAGGTATGTTCCCTGAAGGTCCTGGAGGCCCGTGGGAGCCCCAGCCAGCACCTCCTGCAGCTGCTGTCTGAGCGAGACTGCACCCTTAAGTACCTGCTCTGCTGCTTAGAAAAGATGGGACACACCGAGGCCTTCCAGTTTGTCAGCAGTGTTGGTATGGCCTGTGGGAGGGCACTGGGGAAGGAAAGCCAGGACTCCTGGGTTTTATTCCCGGCTCTAGGGTGAGAGTGAGGTGTAGAGACTGGAACTGGGAAGAGGTTGTCTTGGACCTGTGCTGTAGGATGAGTGTGGGGCTTAGCGGCTGGTCCAGGAAAGTGGGTGGTAGGGTTCCTGGGTTGCAACGCCAACTGGGTTGGGAGAGTGTGGTTGTCTGGGCAGGAGAGGAAGCCTGACGCTCTGGATTGCAGGGACGGCGGTGCAATGGCTTAAGCAGGGTGACTGTGATCTGGGGCTTTATGGGAATCCACAAAGGGACGGCACGAAGGGGAGGGCAGGGGGAGAGTTCGAGTGATGAGTGACTCACGCATGCAGTGGGGCGAGACGGGATGGTTCAGGAAGCTCAGGATTTTATCCGTCCTCTCTTGAAGTCCAAGAATTCATCCGGATCACGGTGCAGCCAGAATCCCAGGTGGTTACAGAAGGGACTCGCGTGTCCTTGTCCTGCTGGGCAAGCGGGCCACCTGGACTCAGCTACCAGTGGTTCTGCGGGAAGCATGAGGTGAGAGCCTGGCGAGGCAGGAGGCTGAGGGCAGAGCCCTGTGGAAGGGCAGTATGGCTGGGAGCTGGACTTGAATCTGGGTTTTTCCTCTGACCCCTGGCAAAGCACCAGGCAAGTCAAATGTTGGGGCACAACCGGAGACCTGAAGGAGCTGAGCATCCCCAGCTCCCCCCAAAGCCAAGGGATTAGCTGGTGCCTGGCAGCACTCAAAGCATGTGACGTGCTTATTATGCCATGAAGCTTTGCAGCACAGCCCCTTCCAGCCACGTTCCAGCAACACACACAGACAGGGTGTGTCTGGGGCAGGACTGCTGAGCCATGGCTGAGGGGCCTGTGCTACCTGTTGGATGCGGGCACTGGTGCTGGCTGGAGGCAGTTGTTCTGGAGTGTGCATGGTTTAATCATCCCTTCTCTCCTTGCTCTCCTTAGACCTGGAACAATGTATTTCATGTCTTTTTTAGGTACCCGGTGCCACCTGTCCTGAGCTGGTGATAGACCCAGCTACCCTGCAGACCCCGCCTGCCTGGTACATCTGCCGAGTGAACTGTGGGACCAGCTTTTCCTTCTCCAAATGGGCCCGGGTTCAGGTCAAGAGAAGAAGCAGCCCAGCCTCAGGTGGTCCCAACTATATTTGCAGCAGCAGGGGAAGCAGCAGAGCCCTCCAACCCCCCACCCCACCTGCATTGTGCTGAGCTGGGGAGGGGAGGCCTGATTTTGGATGTGTTGATTTTTCAAAACCTTTCCACAACCTGGAGGTGGACAGTCTCCTGGGCTCCTGCAGGATCCTGGCTGAAGGCCTGTGCCTGTGACAGGTCTGCATGCTCAGTGGGTCCATCTGTGTCCTGGACTGCAGTCCTGCCACATGCCAAATTTCTATTAACCTGTCAACCTGAACCCCAGCTCTGCCCATGACCCCAGCCCATGCAAAACCCACCTGACAGCCTGGGAGGATCAGTACGTTCTTGGGATCATTCTCAAACTGATGGGACAGCAGGGATTAGTTCAGAGGGCATAGCCAGGGCTCCAGAGACTTAGGGTCTACTTTCAGCTCTGCACTAGCTTGCTGGATGAGTCTTGAACATGTGTATGCCCTCCCACCCTGGTGCCTCAGTTTCCCCATCTGTAAAATGGGGGTTGAGATACTGACTCCAGCAGTACCATATTATCTCCCAGGAGCAGCTTGGTGGTGTCCATGCCAGAAGCAAAGCACCATTCCAGCTCAAGTCAGCCAGAGATGTGTTGGTTTGGTTCTCAGTTATTTGCCCATTTTTAATACTAGGCCAGGTTCAAACCCAAGTGCTACTGCAGAAAGAACATTGGGGCATCTCATTCAACTGTCACAACTTTTTTCTTAGTTTTTTCAATTGAACCTATTTGCTGAATTCTTCCTGAGGAGGCTCTGTGATCCCCAAACAGAGTTTTGGCCTGAATTTCCTCTTCACTCCTCTGCTTTTGTTCTCCTTTGTGAAGTGTTTGGAGGCTTCCATGAAAACCTCTAGGCACAATTGCTGGTTGGACTGAAAGGGCTTTGTCAAGCTACTCTTGAGTGTAGGCTTGATGAGCTGGGGACAGCCTGGAACTGGGAGAGCTGGCATGATACACTGCCAGCTTGGTGCACAGTGTCTGCTAGTCTCCACTGGCTGCATCTCTGGACTAAAGGGGAAGATGACCACCTGCTGCCTTAGAGGGTACACAGACCACCCTTGCCCCAGGGCCTGCTCCAGCAGGCCAATGTAATTATGCACTTACCTAGATGCCGTGCTCTTTGTTCTCAGCATCCTCTCCAGCAACCGGCTATTGCCCATCCATGGTGGGATTGCAGATCCTCCAGCAGCCCCAGCCCTGCACCCTGGATGAAGGGAAAACCCTCCAGCTGCGGTGTATGGCCATTGGGAACCCCCCACCCCAGTACCAGTGGTTCCGAAATGGGAGTGTGATCGAGGGGGCGCGGGACCCCTGCTTCCAGGTACCTGCTTTGGGAAGAAGGGGAGTTCATGGTGCTGGTTGTGTAGGGGACTGATAACAGGCTGCAGGGACTGTCTCATGGGGCATCAGGATCCTCAGCCCTGCGGTGGATTGCAGTGTAAGAAGCCAAGCCAGCAGCCTGCTGGCTCAGTCTTGAGAAGTCCCAGTCCCTGCATTTAGTCCCTGAGCTTTCAGTTTGCCAGGACTCCTTGGGCTCTTTCACAACAAGCACCTGAGCCGAGGTGCTGGGAGTCTTCTGCATGGACCTTTCCTCCTCTTCCCCTCTGCAGGTGAAGCTGGTGACAACTGCAGAGAGAGGCTGCTACTCCTGCAAAGTGTTCAACCTCTTCCATGAGGTGTGGAGCAAGGATGTGGATGTGGAGATTGGTGAGGACTTGTGGCTGGAAGACTAAATCTAGAAGCCTGTTCTGTACACCCCTGCTGCACCCTTGTCTTCAGGGCTCCAGCTGCTAGTGCCCCTCCATTCAGCCAGCTGTGCTCTTTCCACCGTGGGTTGTGGCCCGCATAGCAAGACACCAGAAACCCCCGCAGCCAAGTTTTAAAGCTGCCTGGCAGGCCACGGTGGGACAAGCTCGTCTCATGGGACAGACCCACAGTGCCTCTTGGGCAGGTGTTGGTCTCACAGTGGCAAGCAGGAGACTCTGCACAGAGCAGGGCTCTGAACTAGCTAAGGACAGTGAGGGGCTCGGGAGCAGACTGTTAGGGACTCATGCCAGGGGTCTTGCCTGCTTCAAGCAGCTTGGCTACACCCCAGCCAGCCCAGGGTTGTGTTCCAGAAAGGTGAGATCCTTTGCTCTGACCTGTTCTTTTCCCCTGGTTCTTATTAAGACATCCCCTCCATTCCCCCAGCTTGGCCTGCCTGTCTCACTAAGCATTGCTGGGCACCCAGGATGCTTCCCCCTGCCCACACTGTGGGCCTCATGCTTCAAGCAGAGCCCCTTCCCAGAGGAAGCGTTCAGACAATCCTTGTGATTTGACTGTGGTAATGCCTTGGGACCCCAGACTGGGACCAGGGCCCCTCAGACCTGGGCACCGCAGTGCCCCAGGACACAGGCTGCTCCAGAGAGCTCGCAGTCCAATGATCCCTCATCGCAGTGCAGGGGCAGGGGGCCGATGGCAGGCAGGAGCCGTCCTGTTCATCCTTTCCTCCCTTCACCAGTGCTGAGAGGATGAGAATGCCATCCAGGCTGTGGCATGACTTAGCTCAAGTCTCCGCAGTCCAAAGCTGGAACAGGCTCTCCCCAGATACCCAGCTGGTCTACCCAGCCTGACTGTTCCCTCCCTTCTCTTCCCACAGGACCACGGTTGTTCACCTCCGGGACAGGCTGGCAGGAGGGAGAGGCTGGTATGTAAGGACTCCAAAGTGAACTCCAAAGTACACACCTGGACACAGACTGGGCCATTCCCCCTTACTGCAGGGTCCGGCTGGGAGACCTGGCGACAGCTGCTGCTATGCTTTGGTCTCAGTGCACCTGAGATGTTGTGTTCGTGTGTGTGCCGCCTTGGCAGGAGTTTGCAAGAAAGACAAGGAGCTGAACTAGTAGCGCATGCATCCACACACGGGTACACCTTGCCCATCCCCTCCATGCAGGCAATCTGATGGTGGAGAGGCCTGGCTCAGACTAGAAGCTCCTCCTCAAGCTGCCTTCTGCACTTACTTATGGATATGGCCCTCGAAGGCAGTAGTGGAACAGACTGCTTCTGAGCCTCTGATGGGCCAGGCCTTAGATAATCCTGAAACCAGCCTTGCTGGCTTGGGTAACTCCAGTAGCAACCTACCTGGATACTGTTGTGGTGGGCAGCTTTGGCAGTAGGGCTCTGCCTGCCCTGGTTTTTTAGGGGTTTCTTGGCTGGGAGTGGGGTCTCTGCAGATCCCTTCCCCCTTCCCAAGGTCAGGTATGCTGGTGCAGTCAAGCTGTGGCGCCCCTGTGGTTGTATTATCGTTGGAGCTCAGCCCACTAACCGTGTTTCTCATTCTTTCCAGGGACTGTCCCAGAGCAGGGTGGCCACAGCCAGCTGTATGGTAAGCCGTTCCATGCAAAACCTTACATGAGACCTCTACCTAGGCCTGGCTCAAGAAACCCAGCTTCAACCCCTTTCCCCTACCTCCCACATCCACTCTCTGGCAGACGTGCTCAATGCCCTGCCAGCCACTGCCTCACCAGGGCTGTGTTTGGAAAGACACTAGGTCTGGTCATGCATCCTCATATGGGCTCTTCCCCTTCCTCCCACCTACAGTGTCCCGAGCCGCTGAGCACAGAGCTGGGGCGAATGTGAGAGAGGGAGAAGTAGGATCTAGCCCTGACCTGAAGTGTGTTTCTCAGGCTCTGTCCTGCCCCATCTCACCACAACTTCCAGCCTGCGCTCCTGCCCCTGATGAGCTGACACTACATGTAGCCTGGGCTAGGCGTTGTGTGTGACTACAGGAGGCAGTGAGGACCACGTGCTGGCTGCTCAGGCAGAGGGTGACCTTTTGGGAGACGCCCTTTGTTCTTCTCGGGTAGATGCAGGGCTCTGCCTTGACCTGGGATAAGGGGCAAGGCCCAAAGCTAAACTCTGGTTCCTGTAAGGCCTCATGTCCTTGGCCATGGCTGTTGCAGGGGCTCCATCCGCTGCTGGGTGGGTGGCTGCTAAGGGAAGAAGGTCAGGTAGCAGGGATGGGAGAGGGTGAATGTTCACCCCAAGGGCTCAGCTAGGTCCCCTGCTTCTTCCCACAATCGTGTTCTGCTTTCTGACAGCCACAGACAAAGTGGCCCTGCTGATAGGAAACATGACCTACCTACATCACAAGCACTTGAAAGCCCCCATGGTGGACGTGCATGAGCTTACCAACCTGCTCCGCCAGCTGAACTTCAAGGTAGTCTCCCTGTTGGACCTCAGCAAGGCCGAGATGCAGATGGCTGTCAACGAATTCCTCCTCCTCCTGGACAAGGGCGTATACGGTACAAGGGGAGCACCCATTTCCCCAGGGACGGGGAGGATTAACCCCTGGTTTGCCATAACACGAGAGATGCTTTATGTAAATATACAGGGAGGTGGGGACATCTAGGATGATTGCAGGGTGGTCTTTGCTGGCCGAGGCTGTCTCCTCCCATCCCCAACAGGATGAGCAAGCTGTAGCATGGCTTGGGGATGGGGGAGGGCAGGGGAGGAGGCATGAGTAATATTCAGAACACACTGATATATCAATGAGCAATCATTTTATATTCGAATATTTGATTTCTAACTGTTGCCAGCACACGCTTCTTGGAAGGAAGTGAGGCCTTCTCAGTACAAGCATGGGTTTGCTGGTACTGACAGCTATTCTGGCAAACCACCTAGTGGAGATGTTACTTATGCTGGCAAGAGCTCTTGGCTGCTGCATCCTAGATCTACTCACCAAATAGGATCAGCTGCTCTGATTCCAAGCCAAAAGGACATTTTTAACACTATAACAATGTCTTCACTAAGGTCTGTGCTCATGGTACAGAAAGGAGATCTGACCTGGTTGCACAGACCAAGCTTCTAAGTGCATTGGTCCATCTAGCAATGGCAAAATGATGAGAAGAGAGAAGTAGTTACCACATTAGTCTGCGGTCAGGCAGTAGGCAGGGTAGCTATTCACCTTATAAACTGACTCAAAAATAAACATAGAACACAAGTTTTTGCAACCTTGATCTCACTTCATCAGATGCTGTGGTGAGCACCATTTGTCTATGAGCACCAAGGCCTGATCTTCACTGGACAGAGGAGATCGTTAGGGGCATGAGAACAATAGCCCCTCAAGATGGTGCAGCTGTGCTGATACTAGCCCTGGGGCAGATGCCTTAGGTCCCTTTCTTGGTCCAGCTTTTTCCATCAGCGTCTAGCACTTCTTCCATCAAGTCCAAGAGATGGCACTGTGATGGTCCAACAAAGCCATATAAGAATCATATCCAGTCCATTTGCCCTTTCTAAGAGTCTTTTGGCTGTTTTGACAGTTCATTCTGCCTTCCTTTGTAGGTACCCTGGGGAAGAAATCTTGTGCTTGAATTCCCATTTTGTGCCAAATCTTTTGAATTCCTCTGCTGTATAGGGTGGCCCACTGTCTGAACACATGGTACTGGGTGTGCCTTATCTGGCAAAGTGTACCTTCAGCTACTGGACTACTGTTCTCATCTGAGTGCCCTATAGACAGTCCACATCCCGAACACTGGGGTAGGAACCAACTGTGACCACGATTCTGTCACTGAACACAAACAAATCTGTCCCAACCTTTTCCCAAAGTCATGTTGGGATCTCATGAGCCTGCAACACCTCCTTCTGTTACCTGTCTCCGTGCTCTTTGCACAGCTCACAGTGCTCTGTGTATGTCCTCACCTGGGAATGCACACCTGGCTAGTAGGGTTGTTGGTCTCAGGACATAGGCAAACTCTCCCAATGCCTGAAGAAGGGTGTTTGTGCCTAAAAGCTTGAAAGAACAGCTTTTCCATCTATTTAGTTCAGGGGCGGGCAATTATTTTGGGCAGAGGGCTGCTTACTGCGTTTTGGCAAGCCATCAAGGGCTGCATGACAGGCAGCCCAGGGCAGATTAATATTAATTTTCTAAATTTTTTAGAAGCCCCACGGGCTGGATAGAATAGCCTGGTGGGCTGCATCCGGCCCCCAGGCCGCATTTTGCCCACCCCTGATTTAGTTGGTCTAATAAAAGATATCACATCTATCCAAACAACCTTGTCTGCCAGACTAGTAGACATTCCCGAGCTTGCTGCAGGCATGCTGCTATTCCCAGGTGTGAAGCATGGACTCTTTTCATAATATCCTGCCTCAAACTGGCAGGGATTACAGCTCTGTCTCCTTTAAATAGGATTCCATCTCGTGCCCATAGCTCATCCCTAGCCTGCCAGTAAGGAATGAATTCCTGGGGTACTTGTTCCTTGAGATCTTGCCATTCCTGGGGTATGATTCTTATCACAATCTGTAGCCATCCATCCAATTCTGCACTTGCACATATTGTGTGGAGACTTCCTTTGGAGATACAGAGGTATTGTAGCACATTGATTCAGTCTCCTGTTCCTCAGAGCCATGTGCGGCATACTCTGGAAGGTAGGTCCTGCTCAGAGTATCTGCCACGAGCAGTGGCTTCCCTGGACAGTACCTGACGCTCACATCATAGCACTGAAGTCTCAGTAGCATGGGTTGCAGTTGCTTTGGTGCACTCAGGAGTGGCTTCATAATGCCTTCCAGTGGCTTGTGATCCAGCCGGCTTCTGTCCAAAGGTGAACTGGTGAAATCGCTCCACTCCAAAGAGCACAGCGGGAGCTCCTTTTCTATCTGAGCACACCCTCTTCCTGTATCTGTCATGGCCCGGCTGGCAAATGCCATGAGTTGCTGGTTCTGCATTAATACTGCTCTTAGGCCTTTTTCGGAGGCATCACACTGCAGTTGCTGTTGCTCTGTGGCTTGTAGCACTTCACTTCACTTCAAGTGAATATTTCTGCCCCCAATATTTCAAGCAGGATGTCCTCAAGAGTGAAAAGTTAATGACTTCTTTCCAATGCCCTGTTAAGAGGTTTTGCATCTATATAAATCCTCAGTCCATCAGATGGCCTTACCATTACCTGGCTGCTGACCCGGTTGGTGCTAATAATTTCCATTGATTTAATAATGCCTCTTCTTGTTAGGCTTATTAGGCTGTTTGAGTGGCTCCACCAGGGTTAGCGGTACTCTGTTTCAGCAGTTGTACAGGCTGTACATGTGGGTTTATTTCTAACTTGAGCTTACCCCTAGCGCTCGTCTTCCTCAAATACATCTTCCTCAAAACCATCCCGGAAGAGCACAAACCAACTGCAGATGCTTCCTCAGCCTGACAAAATGTATTTGTACCTGCAAGCTTGCAAAGAATTTTTACAACTATTTGAGTTGGTCTAATAAAAGATATCAGATTTACCCGAAGAACTGTGTCTGCCAAATACATCTTTGAAGTCTTAAAATACCTGAGAAGGACCATGCTGGGTTTTCTCCCTCCTTATATGGATGATAGCGTGGTGCTGCACTGAGATCAGGTCCACAGCTTGCACTGCTTGGCTGCCTAACAGCAAAGCAATGATGGATCTCTTCAGTGCCAACCACTATGAATGCAGGTGATATTGTTTTCTGCTTCATGGACGTTGTATTGAAAGTCTGAATATACCCACTGGTTGTATAGTTGTTTCATTGCATAGCATCAGTATTTCCTCTCATTTCTCCATTCTGATACAACTGCTGAGCAGTTTGCCAGCACCTGACTGGTTGCTGCTCCACTAAAATAGCCGCAAATATGGCAGATGGCTGTGTAGTAGCTTTCTTCTGCACGGCATGTATATTCAGAGTAGTTGGATCTGCTAAAGTCACTCATCTGCCTTATAAAACATCTCACTCTCCTTTCCTGCTGAGTGTATTGTTGCTTTATTTCCCCCAGGACTGTGGAGACACAAAAAGGCAGCTCAGG